TCAATTGGATTTCATGGCAATTATTTCGTGTTCATTGTGATTGAAATTGAGCTGATTTTTGATGGGCCCATTTTTTTCACGAATCCGTTCCCATTAAGCTGCTTGGGGCTCTAAGCTGCTTGCTTGGTTTGCTTGTGCCTTGGGCTGCCACTGCCCACCGGTATAGGTTCAACTCGAGGTCACGCGCATCAATGTTGATTTATGTTTCTGGATCTCCCTTTCGGGTCGACTCAATCCAGAGCTAGCATCTGTGTCAACAATCGTGTTTCAGAGGATAACTTGGGGTGCCGCGGTGGCGAGATGTTAGCGACCTCGCCTAGTATACAGGAGGTCGTGGGTTCGATACCGACCATGATGCCTGCTGTATATTTGGAGTTGGCATGTTCTGCACGTGGTCGCGCTGATTTTTCTCCGTGTCCTCCGGGTTTTCCTTCCACATTTACAATTTGGCTGCTATACATTTCCACGTGATAAGCCGCTGCGTTGAGCTATCGTTTGTGGTGATATAGCTCAGTGGGCCTGGCCTGGTAAAATCTAAATAAATCAACAATGTTAAGTTTCACTGCCGTGGAATCCAGATCTCGCTCCGCAGCTCCCCGTGGGTTAGTGGGTTCTCATAAATTGAAACGTAGAAGGTCCTCGCAACTAAAACGGGGATTATTGACAAATCTGCGATTCAACAACCCCAGGCCGTGGCTGTTGAGTAAAATTATTGACATTCGTAACGTTCAAATTCAACAACGTTTCATTACAATAGATGAATCTGTCATGAATAACGATTTTTTTTTCAATTAGATCTTTTTTAGACGTTTTAGATCTTCTCACGACGGCGAGGAGAGCACCTACCGCCGCAGTGCCGGTGCAATCGACAACATGTGCCCACGGTGTTTACGGCACGATTTAATTATGGAATTGAAAACACGTTCACAACATTTTGATTGGGGGAGGGAAAAAATCCAGAGGTCAGGGAGGTAATCAATGGGAACTGTGGATCGTGTGTCCCCCCTCCCCCGAACGAATTTCTATTTTTAGCTTGACCCTGTTGAGTCGGTGGCGGCGAACCCTCGTTTTATAGCGAGCAGATGGAATCACGCCGACTATTTGGCCCAAGAAGACGTTAGCAACAAGAGTTTGCATCACACAAAACGCGATTGCAAAAAAAGATAATCATTATTGCATGTCATTTATCGACTATGGGGGGCGGTCGGGGCAGTTGACACGGCCGATTTTCTCGCTCAACGCACCGGGCTTGCCAGTGGCCGCCTCCACGTGTTTTCGCAGTGAAATAATGGGACTCTAAGACTTTATTAATTCCACCGGTGAGGCCCCCCTCCCCACCCTGCTGAGCCGAGCGGCACAACTTGTGATGGAGGACTTTTTCTCCTGCCACTGGAGTGTTGAAACGCGCGCGGTTTGGCAAGAAGATCCTTGAGAATTGGTCAACGATATTAGTGCAGGGCACTTCCGGGACACCATATACACGCATCATCTATCCCAACAATAACACATTTCCATCAAGGTCAGTCACTTTGCGCGCTATATCACAATCATGGACTCTTGTCACACGCCCCCTTGTACTCGTATGGCTCAGACATTTATAATAATTAAAGCCTCCCGACCTCTTGCACCGTGACAGTCAATAGGGGGGGGGGGTGGTTTTATTTTGTCATTTATCATCATCATCATCATACTTTACGGACTGCGAGCGTGGTTTGGCGAAGGGGAAGAGACCCCTGGGTCTGGTTTCCAGATCACCCACTCGCCGTTCACATTGAGCCATGACCGGGAATTTCGATCTCGGCTTTGGCAGAGGCCCTCCACGTTGCAGCGCTGCACGCCTTGGCAACTGGCTGCCGCGCGTGTTATGTAAGCGGTGATACGCCACCGTGGCCCGCCATGCCCCCTCGTGGTCCCCGTTCTCCTGCGATATTATATCTTGGGGTTTTGGCCGCGTGCACGCAGCACGACGTGGAGTTTCGTTACGTCGAGGTGTGGCATTCACGCGGCCAATGGCAGCTCAGCAATTGCACAAAGCGGATTTATTGGCAAGTCGGCAAAGCCACTCGATCTGATGTACCCATCCGTTGCCTCATTCACCCTTGTTATATAATGTGATTAAAATATACATATAAAAGTAGCATTGTTAAATGTGTGCCATTGTAAACCCAACACATTGCGTTGAGTTTTTGTTTCTTGGCAACCCCTAACAGTGCAACATCAGCACTTTAACGAGAGGTCAAACAAAGCCTCGATTCATCTTTTAAAATAATTTCTTCTCACGATACGTGCATCGCATCACGTGTGCGTTAAAGTTTTTAAATCGTATGCGTTTTATGTTACAGATACTGCTGACTCTATTGTATGTAGGGGGGGGGGTGGCACATGCCCCCCCAATGGTCCAATCGAAATCCCTAATTTCGATCGGATCATTGTGGTTTGTTAGTAATAAATCGGCATTTTGCGACCCCCACTGCCACTGTGTAGCATGTTATTACGTGCCAGGGACTCTTATGAGATGATAGGACAATAGTCTGAATCCATAATTGGCAATAAGTAACGTCAAAGCAGTTATAAGTGACTCACATAATTGTGCGCAGTTGGGTATACAGAACACGACTTCCCTGAAGTCATTCACCTTCAGCGAGCGCGATGCCAATCACACAACACGGTTCGAATTCGACCCTCGATCGATGGTTGTGCCATCGCCGCACACGCATCGAATAAAAAGCAAGGGACAAGTCCTTACTTACTAACAACTCCTCTATCATTTTTCATTGCTGGAGGGGTTGCCCCCCCGACCTGAAAACCCTGGCTCCGCCATTGGGAGTGGGGGTCGACAATTGTTGGAAATCTGTTGTATCTAAATTTCGATTTAAAGCTTTCGTGACTGCAGGGATTCATCTTCTTGGTTCTTTCGGTAAAGTCACGTAGAATGGAAATAATAAAATAATAAAAATAAAACATAATAAAATAATTCTCACGACGTTTCGGCCACAACGCAAGCAGCCGTCCTCAGGTGAAGAACAGGTCTGAGTCATTCAGACTCTGTCTTCTCGACAGACCTGTTCTTCACCTGAGGACGGCTGCTTGCGTTGTGGCCAAAACGTCGTGAGAATTATTTAATTATGTTTTATTTTTATTATTTCCATTCTACGTGACTTTACCGCATGAACCAAGAAGATCTGTTGTATCTACTTTTTACTCCCACATCTTGGGGGGGTCCACTTTCTATAACGTTTTGATTCAGGCCTTTTGAAAGGTTATTTTCATGTAGTTGACAGATAAACGGAACGCTGGGCTTTTATAATTGATGGGTCCATGTGACTCCTCGTGCAGCTATAAATCCGCCAAACAATATGAAAAAAATATAACCTACGATAGAATGGCGATCGTGAATCCGTCAACTCGATCGGGACTGGGAATCGTTACATCCCTGAGTTTAAACTAATTTAACATGTGGGGGAAAATACATTCGGAAAAGTCTATTGCAGAAACAGTTAATTCCAGTTTGCTTCATCAGAAGCCGCTTCACAATTGCTGTCAACAAGCTCGCTCAATGACACCACAGCACTAAACGTGAGCTTATCGGTGTTGATTAACGTCTCTGTGACCTGTGCCGGATTATCCTAGTAGCAAAAGTAGCATATGCTACGGGGCCCCGCGCTAAATGCTTTCAAGCTATCAATTCCGGTTCAGTGATTCTGCACTTGCTCTATTACCGTCAACTTTTATGAACGACTGGGTGTTTTAGATGAGCGATTTGTCGTATTATCTGGCTGTATAGCAAATGAAAAAATACAATTACTCTACTATGCAAGTCGAAAATTTGTGTTTTAATATTTATGTGTTTTTTATTTTTTATTTAGGGCCCCTTTATAACATCACATGCTACAGGTCCCGCACTAGCTTAATCCGGCACTGTCTGTGAATCTACTTAAAGGTGATCGCACGCACGTTTTTGTAATTCAGTTCACGCCTTAATGTTGCAATAAAATCTTCTCACGTTGAAGGCACTGTGCGGACTGTTACATCGCAGGACGGCTCATTGGGGAGGCCTTGATCCAGCAGTGGATAGACCATGGCTTATGATGATTATTGTGACGATTGAATGGAAACTATCCCACCGCTGTTTGTGCATGTTCACAAATCTAGTGGTAGTGTAGCTAACCGCTACACTACCACTACCCACCGGTTCAATTCCCGCTCACGGCCAACACCGGCAACGCTGCTGAACCGGATTGGGCCTCCCCTAGGTCGACTCAGCCTCAAATGAGTATCTGGTGCAGTGTGTAAACATCGCCACTGGGGAGACAAAGGCGGCTTGGGGTGGTGCTAGCCATCCTACCTCCTCATGTGCCGTTCCGGCCTTCATCGGTGCTACTCGCTAACAGCACCTGCCCCAACAGTATGTTGAGGCTATACGGGGGGTCTTTGCCTTTGGTATCCACAAAATGCATAAAATCATTAAGGTAATTTTCCCTCAATGAGCTGAGCTTGAATTTTCTTTTTCAATATAAGACAAAGCACAGTGATGGTTTTACAACTAAGGCTGTGTTTGCACGCCACGTGTCCACAATATATTTTTATTTGAGTCGGCCTTATTAGAATCGCTGATATTAAAGAAACGTATGAATTCTTCTTGGTTCTTTCGGTAAAGTCACGTAGAAGGGAAATAATAAAAAGTAAACATAATAAAATACAAATAACTTTATTATTTTATTATTTCCCTTCTACGTGACTTTGCCGAAAGAACCAAGAAGATGAATCCCTGCAGTCACAAAAGCTTTAAATCGAAATGTATGAATTATTTTTTACTTTCAATAGTGCTGTTTATGGCTGGCCACTTGGTGTTGTGCGCCTTTGGGGGGGTGGGGTGGGAGGGGACCTTGCTCCGGAGCTGTGATAGAAATATATAAAAAAAACGACAATTGTTTGGTTTACATCGAGAAATGCTTTATATGTAATTCAAAAACCCATCCAGCAACGCTGCTGGACGAGGCTTCTGGTAAAAACAGCGACGTTGGCCCAAAACTGATGCCAAGCACTTTTGTGAACGCGTTCATGTACGCGGGTACAAATCCAAGTGTGTACATCCATGGTTTATGGGTCTCACGTAATGCTGGCTTAACAATATTACATAAAAAAAAACAACTCACACAGCACAAGTATATTCACACGAATTGTTATGGCTCAATGTTTTAAACAGAATACATTCGTAAACTAAAACTTTCTTCCTACAACCTGCACAATAATTATGTTTTGTGGCAGTACACAATTGACTTCAGCTTGCATTTGTGTTACAATCATCAATAAATACATTATTCAGAGGTGAGAATCAACATGTCATACACAATTCATTTTGCAAGGGAGGCCGAGGTTATGTTACACATGGGCATTTTTATACACGTTCTCAATTCAGTTATGGGAAATATAAGCATGCGCGACTGTGTGCCATGTGTCGGCAAACGATATAGGACATCCTACAACAGATTGCACGTGGGATTCGAGTCCTGCTTTTGATATTTCTTTTCAGAAAGGAAACGAACGTTTTCGAGCAGATTTTAGTTAATTTTGTTTTGTTGAACCAGGTGAGAACTCGAAAGACGATGATACATCTCAACTGCAAGTGATCTGAGACTTCAAAGTTATTTGTTTTAACTGCAACGTGGATACTAGGGTGTCCAAGTTATGGGAAATAGAAAAATGTGCCACTGTGTGTCACGTGTTGCCACACGATGGGGGACATCCTACAACAGATTGCAGTTGGGATTCGAGTACTGCGGTGGATTTAGGTGACCCTTTTCAGATTTTTTCGGTAAAGTCACGTAGGTTAAAAAGAGAAAACAAATCAATTAAATCGCGACGTTTCGAAGACTGGTGGTATCGTCACAGCAACAATCACTGTATCAAGTGACGAGACCTGAAGACGGAAGCTTGTGTTGCCTTAGAAATGTCGTAATTTAATTTATTCGTTTTCTCTTTTTAACCTACGTGACTTTACCGAACAAACCAAAGAGTATGGATCCTTGCAGTCACGAAAGCTTCAAATCTAGAACTTTTCAGATTTCTTTCCAGAAAGAAACCCAAAGTTTTCCCCAGCGGACTTTATTTTGATTTTGTTGATCCAGGTGAGAACTCGAAAGACGATGACAGTCGCACTTGCAAGTGATCTGAGACTTCAGAATGATTATTTATTTTTACACCTGCGACGTGGACATGAAAGGGGGTGCCACCCAAAAATCAAGTGGGAAAGGCGCCCTTGAATTGTGGTGTAAACGTCAACCGCCGCGGATCCCATGCTCCGAGGTTCGTATTTGCACGTCCCTCGTGATCCCCTCCTCCCTTCCTCTCCGCTGCGTCCGTGCCCAACTACGCTCTGTGTGCGTATTGACCCTCACGCATTTCTCAACTCCGTTGAGCAAACCGGTAAGTGCTGAGGGGTTGACTCGAAACTTCGCAGTGGCTTCAGTTAAACAGGCAAACGAATACGACGAAGAGGCACGACATTGAATGTAACAAACCTCGATTTTTTTTTGGGCAGTGCCCTGGTCACTTCTTTGCCGCGCAATACCCGAGCTGAACTAGCTGTGTGTACGTGATTGCTCCGGGATGCTAATCGATACTATGTCTACTGCTTACAAGTGGATTTTAAAACGTATGTGACGCCCCGATATGCACTTAATTATCGCAAACATTCAAAGAAGAATTGTCGTAGCCTGAATTCCTTTCTGATGTGTTTTGAATTGCGTTCGTCGGGCGAAACGTCGGACAACCGTGACACCGATCCGAACACAGAGCGGATCGCTACACAGCGCAAGTAGCAAGTTGCCTTGTGTAGTTTCTCCCACAAGAAGGTGATGGTATTCGTCACATTTTGCGTCTCCGTACCCAAGAATGAGAGCTAACGTCCGGGTGTACCTCTATGAAAATCATCTTTGAAAAATCACAGCACAAACAGTTCTTTAAAAAAAAATATATATTCATTGAAAATATTCTTGGTTCTTTCGGTAAAGTCACGTAGATAGAAAATAAAAATAAAAAATAATAAAATTAAATTAAAATTTATAATAGTTTATCAAAACGCACTTTACAAAAAGGAGGGAATTAAAGTTGGTGATAAGAGGGCCTATGGGGCGAGGCCCAGCTTGATTATGTTGGGTTGGCGTAATCCATGTTCCACTAATATTCTGAGAGAAAACTGATAAATTGGAAGCTAATGGGAAAAATTTCCCTTTTTTTTCTGGTAATATAACAGCAGAACCAGATTTTTCACCGATACGAATTGGGCCTGTGATCACCTGCTGTACTTACAGCTACCTAGCACGTGTGCTATCAGCGCAAAAATGCAAGTGCAAAATAATTATGATTTAAAAACCGAGTACACTTTCAACTGTGGGTCACCATAAGCTGCCTAAAGCCAAACTAAAGCATTCGAGATTAGTCAAAATTCTGTACAAATGCCCAACGTCCTGCCCTGTGTTTTCGGGTTGTAGCGTGTGACATTCAGCACGACGTCTGACGTTTCGCTCCGTCTGCTGAAGAAGCTCCCAGTACGTCGGGGAGGGAAACACTGGGTACAACTCGACAACGGGGCCACACAACACAACTGTGAAAAACCTACTCAGCATCTTCTTGGTTCTTTCGGTAAAGTCACGTAGAAGGGAAATAATAAAATAATAAAAATTAAACATAATAAAATTATTCTGAATGACATTCAGACGCTGTCTCCCCGACAGACCTGGTCTTCACCTGAGGACGGCTGCTTGCGTTGTGGCCGAAACGTCGTGAGAATTATTTTATTATGTTTTATTATTATTTTATTATTTCCCTTCTACGTGACTTTACCGAAAGAACCAAGAAGATGAATCCCTGCAGTCACGAAAGCTTTAAATTGAAACCTACTCAGCAGTAACATTCTCAAAGCATCTAAAAAGCTTAACTTTTTATATGTCCACATTCTTGGCACGTTCACATATTACAGTACTGTAGCACCTGTTTCCCCTTATTACGACGTAAATGTTTATTTTCTGGTATATATATAGACTTTTATTTTGACAAAGCGTGAAAGGGGACGACCATCAGCTCTGTGGCGCTTGAAGGCACGGGTCGAGCAGGAACTGGAACGTGTCCAGGCTGCGGAGGCTGTCGGCGTCGTCGCTGTCGCTGGCAAACGGGCTGCCGAGCGACGGGTACGGGAAGCCCGAAAAGTGGCTGCTGCTGTCGCTGCCGCCGTCGTCTCCGCCGGCGCCGCGGCCCGCGAGCTCCTCGGCCTCGCCGTCCGAGAACGCCGGCGAGCAGTCGACGGAGTGGAGCCGCCCCGTCGCGCGCCGCCGCTCGTCCGCCAGAGAGCCGCTGCCTCCTCCTCCTCCTCCTCCTCCGCGCAGGATCGGCCTGCGGCTTGACACTGCCAGCACGGGTGGGGGCGACGGGGTCAGAGGTCACAAATCGTAATATCGGAGTCTTTAGTTCGACCGGAGGCATCCGGGATGAGCCGTGGAGCTCTTCCATCACAGATGTCCAGCAGCAGCAGCAGGATGAAGAGGAGGGATGGCGGGAATAGAGCGAAGGGGGGAAATAGGTGCAGTTGCGAGAGAGTCAACTTAATTAATTTCAGCCAGGTCTGTCCACATCCAGTGTACTTCAGTGGCTCTGGCGGTGGCTATTAGTAACAGCCACCCCAGACTACATGAAGAGCGCGTGTGGAACCTCCTCAAGTAATTGTCTTCCCTCACCTCCGATGAGCACGGTTGCAGTCGCGTAACTAGCATGGGGGCAGGGGGTGCATGGCCCCCCCCCCCCCCCGCCTTGACAACCACCATAAGATATGTGTTCAACAGTGTAAAAGAACACAAATGTACGTAATGATGTGATTAGGCAAAAGGAGCTGCAATGTATAACCTTGGTGCGACCGTACGAGACATATAAAATATTGGGGCCCCACCTGACCACTTGCCGCACCCCTTGAGCTGATAATGTAGTTATGTCATTGCATGGTTAGCTAAGTACGGTGCGAAAGAAGTTCAACATACATACCGTACATATGTGCCCAAGTGTTCCCATAGTGTGCAATCGCACAACGGGAATATTTTCCACGTTGCTATGGAATTCCATATTACTGAAGATACTGCACTCTCCTTCCCAATTGCGGTCATTAGTAAATGTATGCCACTGTATTTTACGATGTGACCCATATTTAAAAAGTCACTTTTGATATTTAGATTGAGTTTGTTTTTGGCATGCAGCCAGTGCAGACAGTCCGGGCGCTAGATATGCGAGTGCATGTTGCCAATTTTGACTTAATCACATTTCTTCTTGCGATAATTATGCAACGTGGAGTCTGCCTTCTTTAGGCAAATATAACTCTCTGTTAATCCTGATAAAATACTCGCAGGGCTTTTAATTTCTCACTCGATATTTTCCACAGCGCTACTGGGTTGGCTTAAGAGTAGGAATTATTGGCGTAAGGCACTATCACTAGAGTACAAGGTATGCCTTATTCAGGATAATTCTGTATTATTGCACCCTATGTTCCTATAAATCGGATTAATACTTTTAAAAAATGTAACTCTTTAAGTTTATGTGAATGTTTCAGCACAAGTGTATTTGTACCATGCATTACATAGGCTGCTGCAGGGGCTATGTTAAACTAGTACGGTAGCAAATAAAATGAACTGGTAAAGTAAATTATTCAAAGTTGAACGCAGGAAATGTAATGAAATGGAAAAAAAAACTGCACAATGTTGAAATAGCTATGAGATTAGGAATACACGTTAAATAAAGAATTTATTTTTTCAAAACTCTTACAATTGTATGCAATTGCTGTTAACATATTCCATATGAACTCGGACTCCGGATGGAACAATCTCACGTTTAACAAATAAATGAATAAGTTAAAATTGACAGGTTGCTCGTGATGCCCTCCCCTCTGCGTCTATGCGTACACTCTGGACTCTGTGCGTTGACTGTCATGGATTTCCCAACTCCGTGGGCTGCCTCACCCTCCTTCAACAGCACATCGAGGGGCCAGAGAGAGTGGGTAATCAAAAATTGGAGACTGCACTTTACATCCTGGGGCCTCATAAGTTTTTGAAAAATATTTCTTTATACATTTTTTATGTGTTAACATGCACAGTCACGCATCTACCAACTCGTATTTTCTCTTCCTGTTATTCGAGTGTGTGCACCACAGCACTTCTCCAGATAGTTTGTCTGAGTTGACGGAACTCACGTTTCTCCTGCATGCTCCTCTTCAGCGCCATGTTCTCCTGCTTCAGCCTCTTGTTCACCTGCTGCAGGAACTTGATGTAGTCAATCGCCTTCCTCAGCACCGCCGACTTGTTCAGCTGCGACGCAGTCGGGGGGAAACAGACGCGCTCAGCGCGAATCGATCCTGGGCGTCGCTCGCTCTCATGTTTGCCACCGCGCTCGCCTACAGGTGACCTCAAATATGAAGACGCTCGCCAATAACACCGCAGCCTTTAATGTAAACAGCGTGCACGAGAGGTGACGTTTCAGGCAGTGGCACGTCTTTAACCGTTTCCCGTTACGATGACTTACGCGTACGTACGTGTACGCCATCGGAACGGAATCGGAAGTATAAGGCCATGCGGGAGGGCGCATGGCACAGTTTGGCGCCAGCTAACGTAGAGTGCGGTCGTGTCGCTATGGGTGTCTGCGATTCAGTACAATGTCTTTATAAACAGCGGCGCTACGCCTCTATATAAAATAACGCTGAGGCAGGCACTTGCGCATTCCGAGATTCGGCGGTGAACGAGACACCCACCCACAAAGTACCACTTTGTGGGTGGTACTCGAAAAAGAGCTTCATAGCTTATCGGATTTCTCCGGAATAAAGAATCTGGTTCTGAAAAACGCTGAGCGGGTTATAGCTGACGATTCGCTCCACGTGTTAGGAGAGACTTCAGGAGCTGCTGTGTTAAATTCGGAATGAACATTTACGCCAGATAAACATTGTGGGACTGACATCACTGTGCTCTGCACGGCGGTTCACCGGAGACGAGCCACCGACGTCTCGGTGCTCGTTACAGCAGCAGGAAATCACTTAAAACGCGTTGCTGTTGAACCTTGTGTACCTTATTGTGTGGGCCCACGAGCATGGAGCGCATTTCTCCGATGCGGTCGTTAATGGAGCAGCGGTAGCGGCGCTCGATGGCGTTGTGTGAGGAGCGTCGCGATCGGCACGGCACGGGGTTCCCGGTCCCTGCCGACGACGGCGAAGACGAAGGCTCGGCCGCCCCGGCGGTGCCGGCGACGGTGGCGGCGACGGTCGCGGCGACGGTGGCGACGGCGGCGGGCTGCTGCTGCGGCGGCGGCAGTGGCGGCGGTGTGGCCGCGGTGCGTGCGGGGCCCGCGCTGTCGGCCAGCGTCGGGCTGTGCTGCAGCGACAGCTTGTCCGTGTCCAGCACAAATATCGTGCCACTGCTGACAACCTGTGGGGGGGGGGTAGAGAATTGTGGCAGTGGTCACATGGCACCGCATGCAAGACGTGGAAGCAGTCGGGCCTTCCTGCTGTCTGTGAGCACACCTCTGTGTGTGCACGCACGTTGAATTTCTTTCGCGCCGTACGTAGCCGGCCATGCTAATCGGAGGTGCGGAATAGTGGGGATTGTTAAATCCGAGGATGGTTGTGAACGTCTGTGAAAAAGATCTGCGTAGTTCGTCGGATTTCTCCAGGATGAATAAAAATCCTGGTTCTGGAAAACGCCGAGCGGGTTTTAGTTGACGATTCGCCCCACGTGTTGGGAGAGATTTCTGGAGTTGCTGTGTTAATTCGGATACACCTTTATGCCAGATAAACGTTGTTTATTACCTTTAAATATCTCGTTTGTGAGTGGTGTAATATTCCTTTAGAGTCCCAGTACTCTTTGCAAAAATGACGTTTCTGTCTTTGTTTTCTTGTTGCTGCTGTGCTCACACACCACGGATCTCCCTTGTAAAAGAGCCGGGTAACTGGCTAAACATAAAATACACATAACCTTATATGTATATGCATTCCCATCCACCAGCCACTTAATCCAACCACCTTTATAGCTGTAAGATTCGAAATATGAATTTAGATATTTCTACGGGAACTTTTCCCCTATATAAAAATGTATGAAAAATAAGATTAGGTTTTACCCTTTCTGGCATGTTTTGCCACAAGTAAGTGTGGTTAATGCAGACTTGATGCCTTGAAAAAGGTGTCAATTTGGTGTTTTATTGCAGGAAGGGGTAAAAATCTATTCTTATTTTTTTCATAAATTTAGATATTCCTGGCTTACGTGACAATGCATATTTCGTGAAGGATTTCCGAAAGCGTTGCTCTCTGGGTTAAGGACCCAGTTCCTTTTTTTTAGTTTTGTGCCGGGCACACTCACTAACCTGGAGTGGCTGACGCTGCACGGGGCTTGTGGGCAGAGGGGAGGCCTGCACGGCGCCCACCAGACTGCCCGCCGCCTCTCCCGGCATCGCCGTCAGGAGGAACGATTCTCCCTTGAGCAGCTGAGGTTGCACCAGCACCTGCGGTCATGAGAAAGCAAGATGTAGAAACAATAATGGGCACACCACCCATCCCAACTCGGTCAACAGATATATTCACGTGCGTCATATTGAGTCGCATTGATATCTTAGTTGCAGAGAGAGAGAGGCGTGGAGAGAGATTTTAGGGTAGTAAAATGCATTATGTTTAGGCCTGGTGCTGACAGAAGTGATCTCATCAGCCACCGTCTGGTCGATGTTACGGCCAGGGGCTGCCCTCTGGAGGCACCTGCAACTCGCCTTTGCAGCTCAACAGGCGAACCACGTGTGGCCATGTGCTTTGGCTGCGGCAAATGTCCACGTGATAAGACACTTCGTTGAGCTATCATTTGTGGCGGTCAGTTCACTTATTAAAAAAATAAACGAATTGCTCAGCAGGCTTTACCTGGTAAAATAAAATAGTGACATTGTATTTGTATATTTTTGTGAGTGATTTGCTGCCGCTGTCCTATGCGTTGCACTCCTATCGTGCCCTTGTATTGTTTTTCTGTTGCCATGTTCTGACCCGCCCCGACTGGACTTCTGTGAAAAAGAGCTTTATAGCTCATCTTCTTGGTTCTTTCGGTAAAGTCACGTGACTTTACCGAAAGAACCAAGAAGATGAATCTCTGCAGTCACGAAAGCTTTAAATCGAAATTTAGCTTCATAGCTCCTCGAATTCCTCCAGTGTACATAAATGTTCCAGGACATGAAGGCCTTTTCCTTTTCCCCCACGTAAACCTCGTAGCCCACCCTGCTATATTTGTGCTGCCACTTCATTGTTCTTATACACTCGGGTTGCACATCAGACAGAGAGTGGCCCTTCTTAAGTGTTAATGACGGCAGGAGCCGGGGGGTTCTTACTGGGTAACAACATTGAGCTTAATCCACTCTACGTTTATAAAGGGGCATTGATCGTAACAAATAACAAATAGTGGTTCTCAAGATCATATTAAGGTCGCACTCCTTACACATAAAGTGAACCACAATATCTTGCCGATCTCGTCAAGGAGCATAAACCACGTTCACGTGAACTGCGGTCATCCTCGCAACATCAGCAGCGGCTTTTGGTTGATAGCCATCGAACAAAGACGGTGGTCACCGCATCGCGCGGCGCTTTCAGAGGCCACCAACTTTTGCAAATCCCCCTCCTCCAACCCCCCTCCCCTATTAACAAAAAATGTGGCACATTCAACAATAACGCCGTGGCCTTCAAAGAAAAAAAATCCAATCGGCGACGTTTCGGGCAATGGCCCTTTTTTATTCGTCGCACATTCAAGCGAGATGGCGCTGCGGGGTCGTGCGAGGGGCCCTCCGTACCGGCAAGTGCTGTCCCGTGGAGATGAAGGACTGCCCGGGCGCCAGCTGCGTGGTGGTGGCTGTAGCTGTGGAGGCGGTGGAGGAGGAACGCAGCAGCTGCTGGGCAGGCAGCGCCTGCAGGGGCCGGTAACCTCGTGCGGGAAAGGCCTGCAAGCAGGGGCTCGTAGCCTTGTGGGCCACCTGCGTCCCATCAGGCGTTTCAAGCACAACTTTAATGAAACATTTTTATACAACAAATATTATTGCCAGATGGTTTACTGTCTTTGCCAACCAAACGCTACGGTTGTAATGACAATTATACACGTTTCAGTCTATTGCAATGTCATTACTATTGTGCGTTTGTGACGTAACCAAGTTTTAATTACATCGTGTGCTTACAAGACGTATGAACACTCTTGCATGAGGTCTGAGCAATAAGTAAATAATACTGGTAGGAACCTCCTGGTTACACCAGCCCACAGGGGATTATTGTGTCCGTCCGTCCGTCCGTCGTGCATCCAAAAATTGGAGGGGTGGGGCTGGGTGGAGAGGGGAGGGTGGGGAGGGGCTGGGTGGGGAGGGTGGGGAGGAGCTGGGTGGGGCTGGGTGGGGGTGGGAGGGGTGGGGTTGGGTGGGGAGGTGCTGGTCACCCCGTGGTGCCCTTATAAAACTCAACGTTTAACCTACTCACGCCGGCTTGTGCCCGCCCTCACAGTCGGCCATATTTGCGGAATACACCACGCCGCAGTTGACCCTGGCCATTGACCGAGCAACCCAACGTTCCTACCAGCTCCCTCCGCAGGAATGTGTTAATGGCGTTTTTTCAGCCCTGATCTCTTAGCTAGGAAGAAGAGGTTCACCCACCATGGCACCTGAGTGCACTGCTCAGACATTGACAATCCCAGAGAATAAATGAATGCCATTAAATGTAACCCCCCCTCCCCATTACTCCCTGGCGGGGACATGGGGGTCAACATTAAACCACTCGTCCTGTCGCTGCCTGTAAAGCGCCACACTTGGCTCACTTTCAGATGGTGGCTCACTCACGTTTGCAGAATATCTGCTCAAGAATATAAGCCGTCATCTTGATGTGCATAGCGTATGCTGGGACTTTCTTTTGTCTGTTTTTCTGTATAAAACAGTTGATATCATCCTGGTTTCAGGTCTGTACACACATTTCTTTTGCGTCTGATGGACTTTCCAATTATCTACAAAAAAGCACTTTAATTAGAAAAATGGGTAATTGACTGGGCAGGCGATTACCAAAAAGAAATTGTCTGTGGCATTGTGGGAGCAGCAGGGTGGCGGGCACGGTGCTGTCACGTGTGCCTCGTAGCAAGAATGACCTCGGTTCGATTCCTGACTCGGGCGCCTTTCTGCGTGGGATTTATCTGTTCTCCCCCTTGTCCTGTGTGGATATTCTCCGGCTTCTCCTGTTATCTCCCATGGCTTAAGCAATACCACAATCGGTGTTGCCCAAACATGCCAATTGCAGGACCCTCCTGAAAAAAAGTCTCCATACTGAGTAAATATATTTATTTTATTATTATTCTTCTTGGTTCTTTCGGTAAAGTCACGTAGAAGGGAAATAATAAAATAATACAAATAAAGCAATAAAATTCTCACGACGTTTCGGCCACAACGCAAGCAGCCGTCCTCAGGTGAAGACCAGGTTTGTCAGGGAGACAGCGTCTGAATGAAACACCACCACGCTTGGAGCGTATATTTAAGCTGGGTTGGAAGGGGGGAAGGGCGCCTTGACAAAATAATTTGCATATCAAGAGGAATTTTATTATTTTATTATTTCCCTTCTACGTGACTTTACCGAAAGAACCAAGAAGATGAATCCCTGGAGTCACGAAAGCTTTAAATCGAAATTTATTATTATTGTTATAATAGCACTTACGGTTGTAGGTGTGCTGTGGGTCAGTTCTGGGCAGCAGCGTCCCCTTGGTAGCTTTGGGCAGCGGTTGGCAGACGCTGAGTGGCTTGCAGGCCTGCGCTGCCGTGGGCTTGGGTCTGATGGGCAGCGACGGGGCGCTGGGGAACGAGTCGCTGGGCCGTGCCGCACACCCCGGGGACTCGCTCGTTGGCGCGGCCAGGCCAGTGGGAAGAGCTGTGGGGAAAGATCGTGAGTGAACGCGTGAATGGCCTTGCGGTAAAATGTTTTATGTCGCGGCTCCGAATAATTAACATCTTCAGCTCGTGTTCGTCATGGCAGTGGCGTTAAATACAGCCACGTAATATTACACAGCGCCTGGTGGCTCAGCGGTGCGAGCGGCTCACGAAAGGAAGGTTGAGAGCTCAAATTCATGGTTGGGGGTTGACTCTGCCCATCATCACTCTCGGGTGAATAAAATAGCTAGCCACTTTGTGGGGTAGTCAACACCAGTGGTTTTCCTATGGGTAAACTCGCCCCCGTCGTACAAATGTGGAGTTTGTACCACCGGCTCAGGACTGCCAACAAGAGATGCACACTGTCTCAATGGGCAGCAAAAAATCTTGAGTTTATTTTGAATACCACACGCCTTATGGTGTGAATTAATTAAAATTTATTTATTTATTACGTAATGTTAAGAATCGTTTCAAATCATTCAAAAACCCTCCAGCGAGATTGAACTGTGAACATATTGTCAGTGTTTGTCTCGGCTGTTTTCTCTCGCTATCCTTATCGGAGAGGGATGTGATTCATGCAAACAATGACAATGCAATGCTGATTATTAATCGGCCTATCTTTGCAATGGCTCCTCTGCTTCTTCCCTTGACTGCAATGGGGAAGGACCATTGCTCAATCAGCATCGATTATATATAACAAAAAGTGTTGTCCCCTTGAGGGCAGTGTTATTGACGAATTGTGTTCAGTTGTTTGTTAGTTGCTATTTGCACTTCTTCAAAGTATCTAAAATGTATATTTGTAATCATCACTAAAATATAAACACAACAGTGCTCTTCTGCTCAAGTGAGCGTTGAGGCGGAGCTCACCTGTGCATATCACTGAACTACCAGTGGAAATGACAAATTCTTCTGACATTTGTGAGTCTCTGCATACGACGACCGCTCTTGACTTCCCTACAAAGTGTCAACTATTTGCTAATAAATTCGCACACCTTGGTAGCATTCGAAATGTGCGCATTTGCACAATCGTCGAGCTGCCGAGAAACGCACGTGCGGTCGCAGCGGAGATCCCGGGCCGAGCCGACGGCGTGCTGTCCAGCAGAGCGGCCAGCGATGTTGGGTAGTAACTGCTGCTGCTGCTGATGGTGGTGGTGGAGGACAGAGGCGCAGGGATCAGGGGGGCCGTGTCCATGGCGCACGGCTGTGAGAACGAAGATGCCAGGTCGGGGGTCCCCTCGTCCATGGGACACGGGGGCTGGAAGAGCTCCAGGAAGTCGTCCGAGTGGTTGCCGATGTACTGCAGCATGTCTGTAAGGACACACAATACGAGGTTCACTTTTGAGTTGTGCAATGCAGTGTGGATTTGTCATCATCAGCCTTGATCAATTCGCTTCGGGATTCCTCACGGTTCTGTAACAATCAACCCTGGCACCTGCCCATGAGCTGATTTAAGCGCTCCCATGCCGATTAGCACGGTTGGCTACGTACGGTGCGAAAGACGTTCAACATATATTCATACAAACTCATACATGTCAACCCATACAGATTACCCGTGTTCTTGTAGAGGGAAATTGAGTAAAACTTTTTGATAATTTGTTTGTGTTTCTCCCTTGTGATGGTACTTTGTAGGATGAACGTTGAGATATATCAGGGCACGGGGTGACCAATAAAGTCTGAATTGGTCTGTAATAAGGTAGGGGCACTGATGAGGGGTTGACAGGTAGGCGTACTCCACTGTGTGTTTCCTCCTATGGCTGCCACTCCACAATTAGTCTTGATATCTGTCCGTCACCCCTCGCGACATGTCCTGCACAAGCCCACTTACATTCCTTAACAGTCAGAATGGTGTATTTATCCTGCGTATGACCTCTAAACCACGCGTCTTCTCTCTCGGTGTTATTCTAGGCTTGCTTTTCTCCACGCCTATTTGCACACTTTTTTTCAGGTCATTGCTTATTTTTATTCCGTTAAATGTCGGTGTTTCTGATCCGTATCTCGTAGCATTCGTATGACAGCAGCCATTTCCTCTAGAAATGTGGTACTCATTTGATCAACACGAGAGGGATGATGGGCTGATTCAGTGTACAGCCATCACATGGCCTAGCAATGGCACCTTCAGCACTTGTTTAAAAAGCTTCGCAGTTGTAATCCGGTAAGCCGCCCTGGTTATTACTGCAGGTTTATTAACCATAAAATATGCGCCATATGCTTCAAAGTGGGCCATAAAGATCCCCCTAAAGTCATTTGAAATCCGTAGGCCAGTGTGGGCCTGCATTATGGTCCGAATTTACCAAATTCGAAAATTACCCACAAAACTACACAATTGTGATTACACATAACAATCATTGCCCCCGGCTGTCAGACTGATGCCAGATTGCAGGCCAGGTGGGAGTGACTTTTCAAATGTTTGATATTAGAAGTGCTGTAAGTCACTTATCACGTATAAAACTCTTATCTGAGACGCTACAGTGTAAAGGGCACGCATTATTAGTAAAGTTATATTGTTACATCGGCCTTTGCAATGTGAATTGAGTAGCTAGGCCGAACATGTTCTAAATGTGTTTTTATTTTACAAGAATATCCATGCATTATTGCTGTTCCTGTGAACTTTAGTCACTGATTCCTCCACCCATGTTGAGGACTCGGTCTTGCAGACACTGACTGTTTCATCTCATCCACCAAACTGTGTTCAACCACCACACTGCACCACCATATAACGACTCACTCACTTATCCATGCATTTACTCGTTCAGTCAGTCACGGACTCACCCTACCGCTTATATATATAAAAATAATTTAATCTTTCTACTGGAATGTGCAATTGCCTCTCGTTGTACTTATAACCTTTGCTCAATTAAAGAAATGTGTGTCCGTAACACTTATTTATGACAAACTTTAAGAGCGATCTTTGTTCCTGGCCATGTGGGGTGTGAGCTTTTGGGCCTGTAATCAGCGACTAGGGTTTGTCTTGTCTAATTCAGTTGATATTTGATCAGATTATCGAAAATATTGCACAAAATCACATGTTGCTACGATATAATATTAATTTCATGAAAGTACACGAATACAATCTACTAATAAATTCTGTACCGGGGTTAAAGGCCCATGACATGGAGTCTAATTGCTTTTTTGGCCCTTTCTGCTGAAATAAATACAACATGTCTCTCTACCTTTAGACTTGTGATTCTAAAACAAACACAACGTACAAACACCAGATTTAAAAAAATCCTCCCTGCTCGTTTATGAGCATAACAGTCACTTTGGTTGGTAAAAAAATCATTAAATTTTTATTGGTGCAATCATGTCGATTAGATTCAGGCAACTAAGGCATAACAAAAGCATTTGTTAAAAAATATTCTCGGGAGGTATCTTATCCCCTTCTTCGGAAAAGATATATATATTAAAGCGACGGGCTGCAATTTTATTTTTAAAATGTGTTGTGAGCCATTCCACAGCTTTGGAGTAGCACAGTGGAGCCTGATGTCTCGATACAATAGATCCATCGCTGTTTGGAATCCTACACAGCGATTCCGCGCCACTTGTTACGAACGTGATGTATAAGACGGACACGCTCCGGGTAAAGAAAGCCAAAAATTCATTTTTCTTCCAAAAAGGGTTTTGTGGATTTCATGAATCCAGAATTAATTATCGTGGCGACCCGAGCCGACGCTGTTTCCAGCGAGAGCTGCAATAGCGCAGCAACAGCTTAAAGACATTTTTGTTCCACGCGTTCCACATCGAATTAAAAGCCCTCGCCACAATGCGCATGTATTGTTTGATACATGCGCATCGCAATCCGCTGGGATGTGCAGAGTTGGTGCGTCTAAGGTTACGCGCTGGAATGCCACTGCAGGGAGGACATGCGAGTTCACCACGCACCAATCATTAATCGGAGCGTCGGAGAGGAGGGGGCAGGCTGCCAATGTGTTTCACACAGCCGTATCGGGGCACCGAGTCGACAACGCCTGAGTTCGCGTCCTGAGGCTGATCGGGTGGCCACGCTTCCAGGGTTCGTGTCTCGTCACGTTTATAATCTCGTAGCTTTCCGTAAAAAAAAAAAAACTTTTTAAAAAGAACATTTAAAAATGTGAAGTGCAATTCACCATACTTGTTCAAATGTTTATGAAACTATTGTTAGGTTTAGTCTAGATTTGCTCAATTTAAAATGTTTTAAAGTATAGATATTCTGTGCACTTTAGCAGACTTGATGTAACCCGGATCACCCTTGCAAAGAGAGGCGATGGTTAATGCGTCTCGCTGGGTCGAGGGTTTCATTTGCTGGTTAATTGAGGATTCTAAAACACGGAGCCAACAAACCTTCGGTCCTGGGTTAAAGTCGTGGACCTAACAAAAAAAAAGACTGTAAATGGCAATACGTAAAAAAGTTGCTTAGTACACAGCATGCAATTATACACAGATACTGCACGTTTATTGAAGGCTTGGAGCGGTGGCATAGTGGTTAGCACACTGCGTTACAATTCAACTGACACCAGTGAAAAATGTGCGTCCAAATCAATCCTGAGGCCGCTCTACACACAACCCGCTTCAACCAGTGCGGTGAAGTATGGTCAAACAATCACAGTGTCTAGGGAGGGGACTCCACCCAGCAGTGGGCTGACAAAGAGCTGTTCGATACATTCCAAGTTTTATCATGGGACTCTTTTTGCCACTATCAAAGTATGGAAAATAACAATAGGCTGTAACCTTTGGGCGAACAGCACAAAGGCAATGCAATGTACTTGCGCTGTTCACGTTTTGGCGTTGTTCTCTGGACTGACAATGGTGGCGAGACGAGGCCATGAAGAAGGCCGCTGTCTCTGGTGTAGGCCAATCAGTTAAAAAAAAAACAATGCAATTTATTATCAGAGCATGTTTGTTTGCATGTTCACCACCAGTGCGTGTGGTTAATGCAGAAATGATTGCTTGCAAAAGGTTCAATCTATTTGGCGTTTGAACATCTTAACACCTGTACTCGTTGGTTCTTTCGTTAAAGTCACGTAGTTAGAAATAAAATAAAACAAAAACAAACTTTACCGAAAGAATCATACGCGACAGTAATTTTGCTGGAGCGGTCACACCTGATGACGGATGCTTGTGTTGCTTCCAAAACGTCGTGATTTAATTTAGTTGTTTTATATTTTTTTATTTGGTTTTCACCTACGTGACTTTATCGAAAAAAAACAAAGAGTATGGATCCTTGCGGTCACGAAAACTCCAAAACTAGAAGAACCAAAGAGTGTGGATTCCTGCAGTCACGAAAGCTTCAAATCAAGATCTTAACACGCGCTTTATTGCCAGAACGGGTAAAACCTAGTCTTAGTGTCCCCATACATTCCAAGTGTATTGAACATTTTTGGGAAGGCGTCTACAGTGGCAGAGTTTTGACGGAAGAGACGAGACGAGCGGCAGACAAGTTTGATTTCAGGAGAAGACACGCCGTGTCAATGCCTGCAGGCTGCCGTGGCGGCCATCGGCGTTGTGAGGTCAGGCCATGAGCTGACAGTCTTGTTGGAGGATATTTGGCTTCTTCCTTCTAACAGTGGCTGCTGGTCTGTATGATGGGGGGGGGGGGGGGGAGATTGGTTGGCTACCTCGGGATTAGCACGGTTGGCTACGTACGGTGCGAAAGAAGTTCAGCATATATTGGGGATGGTGGGCGGCCCCACCTAAACATTATCTTTGAACATGTAATTTATTTTTCATTAAAACAATTACAAACAAGGTTTTGAATGTATTTTTTAAAAAATTCCTTAATAAGTAATTTACTTATTTATTTGGACAATGCTTAAATCGATTACAATCGATTTAAAAATAAATAATTCGTTCAGTCGACTCAGGTGCGGGACCTCACTGAGAGGGGATTTCTCATTGGCCGATGAGGAGAGGGGCGGAGCTTCAGCCTCGGGTTCAGCTCCATAGCCAATCAGAAGCCGCCCCTTGGAGGAGGAGGAGCATCTTCCCAGACGGTGCAGGTGATGAACAGTTGGTATATAATTAATCAGTGCTTAATTGTGTCCAATGTTAATTGCTTCTCGTGTTAAAGTACTTAATAGTAGCCTCCCCCGCCGAAACGTTGCACCACTGCAGTCGCCACAGGCTGCTTGTCATTATAATTGTAGAGAAATACTTCGATACCTAAAATGACACGGTTGTTCCATTATACCAAAATAACAATCAACTTGGGCATGCCAATGGCTTCACGCTGCATTTAGTGCGTGCCAAATGCGGTCACTTTTTTAAACCGTGAAAGCGAAACAATGCCACAACCTGATTCACACTCGATGTTTCTGTGAGATCGATCGCGTG